CATCCCTTCAACATCACAAAGATGTCTTCCAATAAGGAGAAGTGTTACTACATGGAAGAAAATGTGCTTTTAAAATGATTTATCTGCTTTTAAAAAAAAGCTAGAAGCAAATGATAATTTAAGCAATATTTACAATATTTACCTTTTTATAGCTTAAATATACTCTACTATGTTTGTTCAATTGAAAAAGAGACATTTTCTTAATTTATTATGTTGAATTCTGAAGAATCTTTTTTGTCCTCTTATTTTAAACTTGAAACACTAATAAAATAATTAAGATCTGTAGTGGGAAAAAGTATTTTTAACTATTCATCCTAATTAAATAAACACAGATTGATTGATTTCACTCAGTCGGCATTTTATTCATCACATTTTTGCAAAGAGAGAACAGTTCATCATACAGCCCTTACGGCACAGTAATCTACGGAAGAGGATTAGGGCCACTAAAAAAAAAAAAAAAGTTAACTAATTTTTACATTTTTTTTCAGTTTACTATGGGAGAATTCTTATTCTGACTTTAATCTCAGAATTCTGACTGAATTCTGACAATAAAAAAAGTCAGAATTTTGAGAAAAAAAGTCAGAATTCTGACTTTAATCTCAGAATTCTGACTGAATTCTGACAATAAAAAAAGTCAGAATTCTGAGATTAAAGTCAGAATTTTGAGATTAAAGTCAAAATTATGAGAAAAAAGTCAGAATTCTGAGATTAAAGTCAGAATTCTGGATTAAAGTCAGAATTCTGACTTTATTCCCATACTAAACTGAAATAAAATTTTAAAATCAGTTAACCTTTTTTTTTCAGTGGCCCTTATCTTCTTTCTTAGTAATCAGCCCTGTTCTGACTAGACAGAGTTTTTCTCCCTTACTTATGTTTAGTAAAAAAATTTGAAGGTTCAGCCAGAGTCAAAACAAATTACAACACTTTAACAAACCTGGAGAAGGAATTTGGCTTGTCAGGGGAATAAGTAAACCGTCCCTCACTCGGACATTTTCTCTGCCTTGCAGATGAAACAGAGTAAAAAAATTTTTCACTGGATAAATAGCATAACTAAATACATGAGACAAGAGGAATCTAAATCTTTATCTGAACACAGTTCGACCTTTTTCGATTATAAAAGTTTATTATCCTTGAGTAATCGATGATAAACAAAAAAAAAAAAAAGAAATTGTGAATATATGTAAAAAAAACTAATCACACAGATCTATGCTAATATTAATGTTATTAATTGGCAGCTCCAGGGTTAACTGAAGGTTGACTTTAGCTCTAAACTAAAACCTTCATAACAGGATTTATTGTGGCTGTTATTATCTTTGGTTTTTCTTTATTTTTATGATTAAACTCCGTATAAACATATCAGCTTTAATGTTCTGTTTTCAGTTCAGCTAATGTCCAACAAGAAAAAAATGGTTAAAGGAACAATTTAAGTTGGATTCATAAATGTTTATGTAGGATTTATCTTCATATTGTTGAAATTTGCACATTATTGAACTTTGCAATTACAAAATAATGTGCTTGATTACATTAAATCATTTGCAAGGTTATGAAATCAAAAAAGTCTTTATTTTAAAGTGGATTTTATGCTAATTTCTTCCCTGACTTAATTGTCTTGGCTTTTTTTTTTTTAAGCATTGGTGATTTCCATGTCTGGCAGGAGCAGCCTAATCAGCGCCTGTTTTTCAGCTCTTGAAAATACAAGTAGGTGGAAAAGGTTACATCACAGAGCCATTAGGAGATGCATCATTTAAAAAAGAAAAAAGAAAAAAAGTTTAGGAAACAATATCTTGGAACTTCCTCCATGCAGGAAGAGGGATGAGAGGCATCAAAGAGTCAGCGGTTCATCCTCTCCGTCTTTTGTCTGTGTCTCAGATGGGGGCGAGTTGTGAAGAGGTAGATGTAGTGTGTCTGTGCGAGGCAGCTCCCTGCACACTTTACTCAGAAGCACACACGCCTACGCTGGTGAGTGCTCAGCTTCCCACTTAAGTGTCTGTGGCCGTGGCGCGAGCCGCTGCGAGGGTTCCTCTAGCTGCAGTCGTGCTGTAAATCCGCGCCTTTCGCCTCCTGCTGACCCCCCCCCTGCGTCTCTGTTGCTGCTCCTGTTTCTGTACAGTATGTTTCCCAGGAGCGCTCCACAGCTGACAGCTGTCAGGTCCTCTGTGATTCTTCCTACACCTTAGCAGGATCAGTCACTCTCTGCTGTCTTTTGCTCTTCTGTTGTCAGGAAGCTCCGCTATGTGAACACTGTGGAAAAAACCGAGTCATGTTAACCAGGTTCTCTGAGGGATATGGAACAGAGGTAATAATGAACATTATGTGTGTTTACTGACATCAGTTCTGTGTTTTCAGATCCCACCACCCCCCCACCCATAATCCTAGCTCCCTTAGAGGTTGCTTGAACTTTTCCTCATTTAGTCCCATTGAATATTTTGTAGAAACTGTAACACACAGTTTGTATTTACCCATAAATATCAGATCCTTCTGAAATAATTATGGAATAAAATGATCAACTTACTAGTAACTATCAATTAATCTTTTATTGGATTCAAATTCGCTCCATGAGATTGAGAAAGTTTTATTCAGGGTTGTAATATTAGCACTGTCCACTAGAGGGTGCCACTGCTCATCCTTAAGCAGAGGTATTCCCTGGTATATACAGGTCCTTCTCAAAATATTAGCATATTGTTATAAAGTTCATTATTTTCCATAATGTAATGATAAAACTTGAACATTCATATATTTTAGATTTATTGCACACTAACTGAAATATTTCAGGTTTTTTATTGTCTTAATACAGAGGATTTTGGCATACAGCTTATGAAAACCCAAAATTCCTATGTCACAAATTAGCATATTTCATTCGACCAATAAAAGAAAAGTGTTCTTAATACAAAAAAGTCAACCTTCAAATAATTATGTACAGTTAAGCACTCAATACTTGGTCGGGAACCCTTTTGCAGAAATGACTACTTCAATCGCATGGAGGCAATCAGCCTGTGGCAATGCTGAGGTGTTATGGAGGCACAAGATGCTTCGATAGCGGCCTTTAGCTCATCCACTGTTGGGTCTTGTGTCTCTCAACTTTCTCTTCACAATATCCCACAGATTCTCTATGGGGTTCAGGTCAGGAGAGTTGGCAGGCCAATCAAGGACAGTAATGCCATGGTCAGTACACCAGTTACTGGTGGTTTTGGCACTGTGGGCAGGTGCCAGATCATGCTGGAAAATAAAATCATCATCTCCATAGAGCTTTTCAGCAGATGGAAGCATGTAGTGCTCTAAAATCTCTTGGTACACAGCTGCATTTACTCTGGACTTGATGAAACACAGTGGACCAACACCAGCAGCTGACATGGCACCCCAGACCATCACTGACTGTGGGTACTTGACACTGGACTTCTGGCATTTTGGCATTTCCTTCTCCCCAGTCTTTCTCCAGACTCTGGCACCTTGATTTCCAAATGACATGCAAAACTGAGCAACAGTCCGGTGCTGCTTCTCTGTAGCCCAGGTCAGGCTCTCTGCAGCTGTTTCTGGTTCAAAAGTGGCCTGACCTGGGGAATGCGGCACCTGTAGCCCATTTCCTGCACACGCCTGTGCACGGTGGCCCTGGATGTTTCTACTCCAGACTCAGTCCACTGCTTCCGCAGGTCCCCCAATGTCTGGAATTGGCCGTCCTCCACAATCCTCCCAAGAGTCCGGTCATCTCTTATTGCAACGTTTTCTGCCCCACTTTTTCCTTCCCACTGCAGTGCCTTGATACAGCACTCTGGGGACAGCCTATTGGTTCAGAAATATCTTTCTGTGTCATACCCTCTTGCTTGAGGGTGTCAATGTTGGCCTTCTGGACAGCAGTCAGGTCGGCAGTCTCACTCATGATTGGGGTTTTGAGTGATGAACCAGGCTGGGAGTTTGAAAGGCCTCAGGAATCTTTTGCATTGTTTAGAGTTAATTTGTTGATTCAGATGATTACGGTAGGTGCATAGCTCGTTTAGAGACCTTTTTCATGATATGCTAATTGTATAAGATAGGAATTTTGGGTTTTCATGAGCTGTATGCCAAAATCATCAATTTTAAGACAATAAAAGACCTAAAATATTTCAGTTAGTGTGCAATGAATCTAAAATATATGAATGTTCAAGTCTTATCATTAAATTATGGAAAATAGTGAACTTTATCACAATATACTAATACTTTGAGAAGGACCTGAAGAGATGCACTGATCCAGTTTTTTTAGCGATACCTGCTCAGATTAATGGACCACATATCTCGCCTTGTGAGTGTGAATTAATACAAATTAATACAAATTAACAGAGATATAAATGCACTTTATATTATTTAACAAATAAGCAGCAAAAAGAAGGAAACTACTCTTCCATGTAAAATGCACTGGATTGGAACTCCGATATATGATCTAGTCCAATCCAATCCAATCCAGCTAGTTTGTCATTATCATACCTAATTTCCAAACCAGATCTGTTCATCTCTACTACTGTAGTATTTGTAAAAGAAGTGCCATCAGAGGGGTGTCACTACCTGATCCGTACCGGTAGCACCATCTGAACCATCAGCTCCTTTGCGCAATCAGAATATATCTAGGTGGTCATCGATTGTGCCTTATAAAAAAAAAGACAGAAATCACTTCCTTCCTGACTTCCTTCCTTTTCTCATTAAATATATTAAGCACATAAAGTACAACATATAAAAGGTTATTTTCTGAGAGAATAAAAACGTTAACATCCTGTCACCTGTCTGTACCCGATCTGTCCATGGAATCCTAACCTGAGCAGCTGAATTTTGCCGTTTGCATTTGAATAATTGTAATAATTTGGAGTTTTATGTTTGCATTTTGTAGCATTTTTATATTATTTAGTGCATTATTAAAAAAAGACACTTCTAAACTTCAATTCAATTCAGTTTATAAAGCAGAAATTCACAACAAGTCATCTCAAGGCACTTTACAGTTCACCAGATCATGTAGTCAGATTGATTCATAATTTTCTAAGGAAAACCAGTTGATTGCATCGACTCGAAGGCAATCCCTCACACTAAGCATGCCTGTAGCGACAGTGGAGATGAAAAACTCCCTTTTAACAGGAAGAAACCTCCAGCAGAACCAGGCTCAGTGTGAGTGGCCATCTGCCGAGTCCGACTGGGGTTCAAGGAGACAGAAGTAGAGACACAAAAAGCAGATAAACAAAATGTTATATTGAACTTTGGCTGATGATTACAGAAAGATAGGGGGTTTATAAAACACCTTACTGCAAGACTCACAAGGTAATACAATGTTTTATTTGTAAAAAAAAAATGTGTTTCTATTGGTCTATCACAGAAAATTGCAACACAATTATTGGATGTAAGTGTCTCCAAATATAACAGAGTTGCTCTATATGAAGATTTTAAGACTGATGCTAGGCTTTATTTATGCTAAACGACCAACATTTAAACTGCTTATTGCAATGAAGCTGTTAATCAGCTGCTGCTATAACAGCGACGCCTTCATTCAGCTGTAGCTTATTGAGCGGACAGTAAAAAGCAAAGAGCTCTGGTTTGATCCACCAGACCGGGGGAAACTCTCTCCTGTCGGTATGAGGTGGAGCAGATCTGTGAGCACAATGCATGTGAGTCACCTGAAACGTCTGCAGCATCAGATGTCTGGAGGCACAGAGGAGGAGGCGGCTACTGACTCAGCTCAGTCAGCTTCATTTAGCCTATAACGCATCCATGGTTCATACCCAAGTAAAGTGGCAAAATTTTAATCCAAAAGCTGAAAACACCTACACATGTAACGAGTGCTGAACCATGGACCCAATATTCAGCAGAAAAACTGAATGTTTCAAACAAGTTTCTTGAAAAACAAACCAAAAGAGAGGGCCGGAAGCTCCTAGAACCGGGTTCTTGGATTCTCTGCTGAGGCAGGAAACTCAGGTTAGTGACTAGAATGATGAGCAGAAAAAGACGACAAAAAGTCCCTGAGCTGGTTGAGTGTTCAGTCCGATTATGAGAGAGGAGAAAACCGCCGCTTACGGTCCTTACCACACAGCACAAAGTGCGGGGGACCTGGCTCCAGCCGACGCAGAGAAGGCAACAGTGTCCTTTAGAGATAATTTTAAAGGACACTTTGGAATTATCTAAAATGTCCTTTAGATAACAGTCCAGAACAGTTTCAGAAACCAGGGGATCAGAGAGCTGAAGAGATGTCCAAGGCGAATCCAAGCTGAGGTCAATAAAACAGTCCAAGTTCAGTAACCAGCAAAATCCAGGCAGTCAGACCAAAAATCACACTGAGTAAAACAGACAGAAAAAAAAGAAAATCAATGGGCAAAAAACTGATCAGAATTTAACAACACAGATAACTTACTTCAGTTGTCGCTACAGTTACTCACATGAGACGGCTTGAATAATCTTGATCAATATTCTAACTGTTCCATCGCTACATATGTTAGGGCCACAGATGGCCCCTGGTTACTCTCTAGATCTAGTAAAGAAAGGAAAATCTGTGGGATATCTAAATGTTTACTGATCCAAAGTGGAGAATAATAATTAAAAAGAGGAATTAGTTAAACACAGTAACATGCTGCTGTCTTTAATCAGAACAATACAGTTCCACATTCATTTTATATGTGCAGACTAGAGCAGATAACTGTTTTTATTAATAGAACATTAGAAACCACATGAAAATAAAACCTCAAAACTTAAAACACTTCACTATTAGAAAAATGTTTCACTAGATTAGTCATATGTGAAACAAGGTTAATATCAAACTGAAGCTGCTATTCTACCTGTTGCCTGTTATTTCTTCCATAAACATTTGAAATAAATCTAAGAGGGACTCTTGGATAAAAGAAAAACAAAACAAAAAAACAGAAATAGACAGATGCAATGTAAATTATTAGTTGTCCTCTCCAGTGTTGTATAGTAACGAAGTAAAAATACTTCACTACTGTACTTATATTGTATATATTGGGTACTTTATACTTTCCAAGAGTGTAAATTTTTTTGAGAACTTTCACTTTTACTTCACCACATTTACAAACTCAATTGCATACTTTTAGTTACTAAGTAAAAAATAAATAAATAAAAAAACGAACGAGAGAGAGAGAGCGAGAGAAACGCAAGTGTTTTGACCCCATCTACTGATTACAAAGTCGGGTCTTGCCTTGGCTTGTTCATCAACACCAAAAGGATACGCCTGTTTCGCAAAGCCAGTCTAAATTCATCCTACACTTGGTTGTTTATATCATTTTATGTGAATTTAACCTTCAAAGTTTACCAAAATGTAAAAAAATATAATTCAAACTGCACTTACTTTTTACTTATACTTTTCACTACATTACTTCAGTACGTCTATTTTTACAGTAATTCTTATACTTAAGTACAAGCCATTTCAGATACTTTAAGACTTTTACTCAAGTAACATTTCAGTCAGTGACTTGGACTTTTACCAAAGTCATATTTTGGAGAGGTACTTATACTTTTACTTGACTCTGAGATTTCAGTACTTTATACAACACTGGTCCTCTGTTTTGGCACTAGATAATAAAATTAGATGCGGTTTAAGAGTAGCTGCTAAGCTACAGTCAGCTATGCTAAACTCCTTCTTGACTTCTGTAACATCAAATCTAACAGGATGAGTTGGTTAAAACAGTGTCTCCATGGTTACAATTCATACATAAGCAATCATTCAGAATGGCCCTTCCCAGTCAAAAGCGGCCAAATGGCAGCAAAGTCCCCTCCAACGTCCAGCCACTGGCCGTCCCCTTGGAATGCCTATCTTTTTACTCTGACTCCTCACTTTCACTGAATTACAGGGTCTGACCAGGAGAAAACACTTCTCTTTAGCTCTTAATGTCCACAAATAATGGCAGAAAGAATATTTTAGATGTTTAAAAAGGAACTGTAGGGGACCAGCCAAGGACCAGCTACTGTAAGGGCCCATTAAGGAAAGTGAGGAAATATTGAATAGCTACTACTGTAAAACCTGTAAAGCTGCTGTTACTATTCAGACTTTAATGAAGCTTTTGGTTTGAATAATCCCTCATAAACAATAACTCTGAATCAATAATCCCACATTAGTGACATTCAGTCATCTGTTTCAGAACAGATCGATACACTGGGATATAAATAGGATGACATTTATATAAGCTGTGATCTCATTGGTTCATGCATATTAACCGTAGTGACATGATGAACACCTGCGAACAGACACATGCCATCAGCACATGTTGTTTTTGACAAGTGATGATTCACAGCTTTTCATTGATCAACATCCCATAATGTGAAGGTGGTGGATGATTGTCTCTGTGTGCTGCAGGAGGAGTGCGGACTATCTGACCCTCAGGGGGAAAGCGACGCAGACGCTGACATAGAGGACACAGACTGCAGGTTGGACCGCTGGTACAGCTTTACACACTTTGCTCGCCTTTTTTTCTTCTGGTGTTTCTGACCTTAAGCCTGATTGGTTCAGACTTCAGGAGCACAGTTCTCTTCAGCGAATCAGCTCGCGCAGACGCAAGCGTCCGCGGGTGGCGCGTCAAGACACGACGGAGAGCGAGGATGACGGTGGGCGGAGCCACAAAAGCCATCGCTGGAACCTGCGGCTCAGCCCTGACAGAGCGCACAGCAGGACCATCCTGGAGGTAGGAGTGGATCAGGCCGCCTGATTGGTCTCATGGGTGGGGCTAGATTCTGTTATTAGTTTGGATCTTTGGGGAGAAACAAAATTCCCAATTCAGAATCAGCAACCCAAGAACCATCAAGTTCATATTTTATAGAACATCTATTTTAGTTCAGTGTGTAGATTTTTATCTATGATTGGATAAGAGTTAAGGAGATGGTGAAAGGAACCTTTTACCAACTTCCATAGATTGGTCAGAGTTCCCTTTGTTTTTGTCCTCTCCTTATAGCATTGTGTGTGTCCTATAAGTGTTTTTTCTGCGGGAATCATTTTTTTGTATCATTGTAGCCACATGTTTGTGATAACTGTCCCAAGTTGCAGTCATGATTTGCTATCAGTTCACCACCAGAGTTCACCAGTTTTTTTATCTAACATGACCTGATGTTTCTGAGTCTTTAATCCCTCCTGTTCTCTCAAGGTTTTCCAGGATCTATGGAGGAACAATAGACCCACAGAATAACAGAGAAGCTCATTTTCAAACATGTTATATTATGTACTATTATTATCATCTAAAAATAGAGCAATCCATTACTGAAAGCTTCCTCAACTAATTTAATAACATACTGTATTCGAATCGTCACTGAAAGTATAAAGACTTAAACATCCAGTTTCCTGAACGACCTACCGAGTCAGAGTAGGAATTAAACTAAAGCTGTACCAAAGATATATATATATATATATATATATATATATATATATATATATATATATATATATATTTTTTTTTTTTTACCAGCTTTATCTTCAACTGAAAGAATTTTAAACTAAAACAAAAAACAAAAATCTCCTATTAACACTCTCCTATTAGTAATCCATTAATAGCTGTCAACAAATTCATTAAATAACCAATTAATTGTTTGCTATCCTATACATTTCAATATACATGTATACACATGTATTCATATATACACACATATACATATATATACTTGTCTGTCTGTGAAGGCAACACAAAATAACATTTGTGTCTGTAATCTAAGAAAAGTTAAACATTATCAACATCTGGACAGGACTGACCCTGTCTGTGGGGGCTATTAGTTAGCCTTTTAGATTTGTGTTCTTGTCAACATTCTCTTTATTAGTTTGATGCATTTTTTTTGGTACCTAAAAGCAAAAACAAACAAACATAGAAGTAAAGAACTGAAAATCAGGCACTGATTAGGCTCCTTCTGCCAGAAACTGAAATGTCTTCTTGCTCTTTCAGCTCAATAAAGATCTTCAGGAGCATTCAGCTCCATTTATCCATGAATCCTCGGGTTTGTCTTTCAGGAGAGCGTCTCACAGGTGAGGCCACTGATCATCGCCAGGCCCAACGCTGAGATGCAGAACAGTCCAGCAGATTGGCCCCCAGGCTCTGAAACGATGTCCCTGTGGCCCCCGTCCCTCTCTCTCCCCATCAAACTCCTGCTGCTGCTGCCGCTCTCCCTCTCTCTCGTCATTCTGATCATCTCCTACTTGCTGCCCTGGACGGCCACATGACGGCGTTTTTTCAACCGTCACACTAACGTCATCCTGCAATATTCTATAGTAGATAATTTAGCCTTTAAACCTTAGTAAGGATTATAAAAGCAGTTAAAGATGATTAGAACTGATGATTCGTGTCAAATGGTTTTCTTGCTACATCATAAGGCAACGCTTTTTATGGAGCGAACAGTCGCAGTAGAAATAAAAATACAAGCCGAGTTCTTGGCTGCGTCTCACCCTAAGTTTCAGTTTCTCACCCCCTCGTTTGTAAAAATAGACCTTGATCTGGAGGGGGGGAGGATATCAGGGCTGCACAGAACCTTTTAAAACCCTTCATAGGAAAACATGTGAAAGGCGACGCTCAAACACTATGCAATTCTGTCCCTCCGGCATTGAGAGGGTTCTTAATGATCTTCTATGTCACCGTGTCCTTGGCCCTTTTGCCCCTCCCCTTTTCTGTTCTTATAGTGCTCTGAATATTGTTCAGATAAAGCGTCTCTATGGTTCGATCAACAGAACATCTTATTGATGCACATAATAATAATAATAATTTTATTTATTTATATGTGTTCAAAGGGAAATATGCTGACCTCAAAACAAAATAAGCTTTTGTGGAAAAATGCTGTAACTGTACAATTCATTCATATAAAACCACATATTACCATAATGTAAACATGACAAGTGCTGATCTTATTTATTTTAAATTATGTTTAATTGCTGTTTAGAAAACCGACCTTGACAATCAATCATGCTAGTTGTTACAAGCTGAAATGCAAAACTGGTAAAAGCATTTCAGCTTCTCTGTACTGTATAACATTTATTCATTTGTTCAATTTTGTTGTTTTATTTATACTTTGCATTGCTATTTAATCTTTTTGTGCTGCTTTCCAGGAGAGAAAAGTGGTGATTATTATTTATTAGTATTATTTTGGTCTGTATTCTATTAAATACTGTGAATTAGTTCAGTATATGAAACTTCTATGTCTTCAACCCTGCTGTATTGCTCTTCCTAAAGCTTATATTTCTTCCAGTGTATAAAAACATTCATCTCTGTGTTTCGTTGGGCAATAATTATCAATAAAACAAGATTGTATTTTAACAGAAAAAAAGAGGTTTGCTGCTCAGTGTCTTTTTTAAAACTGGGGATGGTGGCAAAACCAACATTTTTTTAATATATTGTTGATGTGGATCCAGCCACATTTACACTAATTGCACATTCAATTTCAAATATCATCACAAGGGAGAGATTTTTCTCAATATTATTTAAAAAAAAAGGACTATTGCAATGGATCCCATCCCTTGAACAGCTGCAACATGTAATAAATCCAATAAATTTCACTAAATAACTTTTTGCTGCCTTATCAATGAGCGTATTGCCCACAAAATTTCTATTGTTGATCAAACTGAATGTAAAATAAGCTGCAACTTTGTTTTCTTTGAATGTGCTCATAAACAAACATCCAAAATTAAAACAATGAGATTTCTAAACTTTCAAATTGTACTTCTATCAACATACCAAACTGGGATGACAAACACAACTTATTTATATATTCATTAAATCTCAACAGCCAACTTTGAAACAACTTTTTACAGCACATACTGTATATCTCAATTTATGCAATTTTTTTGTACAAACAAAATTTATATATTTCATTTGACACCCAAATTATAATATAACGTCCCCTCCCCATCAGTCACATGTACAGTTGTGCCATGTGGAAAAATCCTTCACCTTAACCATCCAGCTCTACAGCCACACTATACTAGATTTTAAGTCATAACAGCATGTTTTAGGCTGACACACAGCATTTAGCACATGCTAACCAGGTAACTGAAGTCAAAAAGTCTAAGTTTTAATCATTTCACACCATCAACAGTCAGTATGAGAAAAATAAACCTCATGGAAAAAAATTACTTTCAGAAACTCTGTCTGATAAACATAGAAAATTATCTGGGATGTGTCCTCTGTTGGTTTAGGGGGAGGGACCAACTGAGCAAAATCAAAGTCATCAATGTAGCATGTTTGAAGAAAGAAAAAATGCATTTTTTTTTAAACTCCCCCAGTGTCCCCATCTATACACAGAACAGTTTCCGAAACACTTAAAATGAGCATTATAATTACATTGTATCAGTTTAAACTTTATTGTCTCGGACTACAACCTCTATAATATACAATAAACAAACATCAAATATGCATATTGTGCGTTACACCACAGTGAGTGCAAAAACAAAAACGTGCAGCACAATAACATAAAATCCAACAAACAACCAAAACAGAAAACAGGATCATTAAAGCAGCTTTAATACCAGGACATAAGTTATGCCTACTTTATTCATTAACATGACAGAGGTAGTGATAAGTGAACATTTCTATCTGTAATGTTTCCCAGTGGGCACTGAGTACTCTATGCCAGAAGGTAGTAATTCATATTATGAATGGAGGATATGAGAGGGATGTACTCTTTACTCTCTGCGTGAGCCTGAGGATGTAAATAAACAACATAACAAGACAATATTTTTCTACCAAGTTCTTGTCCATTAAGTGTGTTCTATCATATAAAGATGTGCACAAGAAAGTAAATAATAATGTGCTGTATGGTGTGACAGTGTCGACACAGGAAGCCATATTGACAGAGAAGATGCAGATGCATGGTTTTGAGCAAACAGTGACTAACACTACAATACTTACTATAAAAAAAATACTAAAATGTGATTTTAAAGCTATTTTCATGTTCGGACCAGTCAAGTATATTCTGTTTATGCAGCAGGAAACACAGACTAATACAGGTTTAGATTCACATGTGAATAACAATCCGGCTCATATTAATGCGGATCAGTGCATTGATCTGGGAGAATCAAGCCAATAGAGGCCAGATGATTATAGCTCCTTATACAGCTTTAGAGAAAAAACACGCTCACCCTATATATGGCTCCTCAGCCTGCAGATCCAGCCTGCTTCTCAGGAGGGATTCATAGATTGCCTTTTTGGAGCAAATAGTATAAACATCCGGCTTAGAATGTGCTCCCATCCAAGCTTAAGCTTGGAGTATTAAAACGTTTTAAAATACCATTTTGCAGATATTTTTAAAAACACAGTTTGAAATTTTTTTGAAGATCTATTTTATCTTTTAAAAAGGCATTAGGATTTATAGTACAACCTTTCTTTATCAAACCTCTGGGTTTATTGCTACACTGTACTTTTTCAAAGCAAAATGTAACAGCAGGAATAATTATAATTTGTCATTTTTAAAACTCTCAATAAAAAAAGCACCTTTAATGTTAGATGTCACAAAGTCTGTAACAGGATCTGTCTCTAAATGTTCAGGTAAAGTAACCTTGTGTTTATGCATTTTTTTTGTTTGTTTTTTCCAAATATCCACTAGAGGCATTGGGGGATTATACATACATATCAAATTGGAATTGAACATAACTTTCATAGACACAGGTTTATAGTTTCTGCTTTATTTAAATGAGTTTTGTCTGCAAAAAAAGTAGTAAAATCTGGATGACATAGCCCAGACAAAATGGGATTTTCTTTTCATCTATTTATGATGGGATGGGGGGAAGCTGGAGACCTAAACTGCCACCTGCTGGTAAAACACTATGCATTATTTTTGAATCCACTCAGACTCCTTGCT